TTTCGTCAGAACCAGGCCCCAGAGTGTAGAGGCACTCAGCAGTTGATGAATTTCATACCTGAATTTGAAAAAAAAAAAAAAGTCAATATATACAAGACAAAACGTAGTAAGATACGACCTTCACAGTGCTTTCAGCACATGAAACAACTAGAGACCCCTCCTGAAATGGATGCACCAAAACAAAAGAAAGAAAGACAAGAAAGGATCACATCCATCGCTAAAGAAGAAAGCGTCAGATTCCAAGAAAACCCCCACATAAGGAGCTCGTTAGGTGCCTGCATTTCACATTAGCGAGGACCACAGCCTTGATAGAAAACAGCTTACAGCGTTGCAACCGACAATCTGTGAACGCCGAGCTTGAGCGTGCTGGATCCTTTGCAACTTTGCATACTCATCTGTTACACTAAACAGGTCAAAAAGGAGAAAAGAAATCGGGCATTAGTCATCCTAAGTACCTGTCGAGGCATGGGTGTCCCGTTCGTCACCGAATCTGAGGAAGCACTTGCTCTCCGGGACTTGCTTTCACCTCTTTGTAAGCTTGAGACTTGACGTTAGTCCCCCGAGATCCCGCAGCTTCACTTGTAGCTGACAAAGCCTGCAAGTTTACACAAAAGCTGTCAATACCAAGCCCATAAACAGTGTCACATACAGCTCGTATCTCCTTTTCATGACTTCTTATTGTCCAGAGATGATTGTCTTCGTCGTCAACGCCAGGATTCCTGAAAGTACAAGGCTATCAACCATTCAACTCAGAAACACGCAAGGAGGAGAGAGAGAGAGAGAGAGAGAGAGAGAGCACACTCTTCCGAGCACACTCTTCTGGTGTTTCTTCTGAGTAAGAAAGGTTGGCATCTGTTCTACGTTTTCCAGAGTTTTCACTTCTCTCTTCTCGCTGTGATGCAAACCCAGCCTTGATGAAGCAAAAGAAGAATAAAAATTGGAAATAAAAACTACTCACAGCGAGCTCCTGGCGTTGCTTCTCCTTCTCCTTCTTCTTCATCACAATATAGTAGAACTTCTGGATGTACTCGGCTGGCAAGACTCAAAACTCCACGCGAGGATTCTGGTTTAACCACTCGGCGATCTCCCACGGGAGTGTCCTCGTCGAGTGGAGCCCAGACGGCAGCTCCAAATTCGCCAAGGAGATGGCCAAGGTCGGGCCTTTCAAGAATCTCGCCGAGGCGATCGAGATGTCGCGGCAGATATGGTGGAATCAGGTGGATGTTCCTGGATGGCTGGAAGCTTTTGGAGCTCATCCAAGGATTGGAGCGCTCAGCAGCAAGTCCACAACAGACTGGTGTGCCGAGGAGCAAGCTACAGCACTGAGCAGTGCAAATGATCGAGCACTCAAGGATCTAGCCGAGTGGAATTGGCTCTACGAATCAAAATTTGGCTTCGTGTTCCTTGTCTGTGCAACTGGAAAGAGTAGCTCGGAAATTTTGCAGCTTCTCAAGGGACGAATCACAAATAGACCCTTGGTTGAGCTCCAAGTTGCTGCAAACGAACAACAAAAGACCACAGAACTACGGTTGTCAAAGCTCGTCTCACAGAACACTGCTCCTGGTGGTGACGAGAACACTTCCAAGTTGAGCCTTTCGGAGCAGAGACTTGATCATGAAAAACCTCTCGGCTCTCCTCTAAGCCACGAAGAATCTGGTGAAGTTTCGTCATTGGCTCACGTCAAGTATCCTATATACAAAATGGGAGAAGACTTTGAGCTCTATCTGGAGATTTTCGAGTGTGCAGCACACAACAACAAAGTGGCAGGGAGAGAGATTATGCATGGCTCTGGAAGGGGAAGCACAATGACTTTTTATGGCCCATCGGAGTGGAGTTGAAGAGGAATCTTGGTAGGAGGCAATTCAACGTGGCCGCTGCCTCGTCAGCTTGGACAGCCTGCTGAACATGCCTTCCTCACGATGAGGGATCGCAAATTCAAGAGGGGCGAGTCCGTGCAACAGTACTGGGCAGCATTGATTCGGGCAGCTAGGATGCTAAACAGTGATGCAGCAACGGCTGAGGGCATGGCAAAGCAGAGGAGACCACTAAGACTACAAGGGGAAACACGTGGAAGCGTCTCCATTTTATCGGGGGGAAGAACCGCTACAGCTGTAGCGGCCAATAACAAGCCCATATAACAAAGTGAGGCAGAACACGTGGAGGGATGACTCGGCAAGGAGATCTGACGTGGTGGGGAGGGGTTTGTTACAGAGGATCAAGGGGCGGATCAGCAGGGGACTTCTTGGGATGCAGCAGGGCAGCGATAAAGGACGTGGCGGGAGCTAGGGCTGGAGGGGGGATTGGCTTGGGAACAGCGTGACGAGCAAGGGCGATCAAGATCTGAGCACAGTAAGGGCTTTGACCTAGTGTGGACTCCAGTAAGCCTCGCCCGGGCTTACGCCCATTTTAGAACCGCTACAACGTACCTGTTCTGTGAGATTAATTCTGGTACACGCGTTTCTCTACAAAAGCAGTTGACCGGGCTTACGCCCATTTTAGAACCGCTACAACGTACCTGTTCTGTGAGATTAATTCTGGTACACGCGTTTCTCTACAAAAGCAGTTGTCGATCGCCTTGACCACTACTTGTTGCCACAAGGCCTGCAAACAACCAAAACCAGCCCAGAAAAGCAAGCCCGTTCTGCGCGGCGGGTGAGCAAGCGCAAGGTGATACGGCTTTCCAGGTGAGCAAGCGCGAGGTGATACGGCTTTCCACGAGACCGCGGTGCCAGGGCGACGGGTGGGCACGATGTGGCAAACGAATCGGGAGGAAGCGGCCAGCTTCCGCGAGGCGGCGGTA